TCCGGGTGATGTATATAAATGTATATGCCTATTGAAAAATTAATAAATAGTATTTTCAAAACAAAAAATTAAAAATTAAAAAAATGTCTGTGCACAACACTCCCCACCCAATCACCCATGACACTGCCTCACCGGTGCCAATATTGCAAATACAGCTCAGTCAACAATTCTTCTACCTGGTGTGCCATTCTAAACAGACCACGGAATGCAATGTGACTAAATTATGACTGACACAGAAGCTGATTTTAAATCCACACACTGCTTTCGTGTTTTTTATCTGCTGATGTAGACATATTAGCAAAAATTAAGAGTAATAGAATTGGTATTTATTTGCCTACTTGTGTATGTTTATATGAAAACTGAACTCCATGCAGATATAGAAACACCAGCTGAAGTGAACCTTTCCTGAGTGGACCTCAATTGCTAACCTCCTTTGTAAAATGCTAGTTGCTTGGCTATTATGGGGTGTGGTAGTGGAAGTGAAAGGATGGGGTCATCAATGCTATGGGTCTTGGGTTTAAATATGGCCTTGTTGGTGACACATTATGGGATATATTTATAAAAGAGTGAATGTGACACTCCCCAAACATACACTGCAGGTGAATCAATCATTGTAATATAAAACAGATGCAAGTTTGCATACCCTTGGAGAATTGGTAATACATGTACTATTTTGAAAGAAAACATGAGTGAGCAGGCAAAACACATTTCTTTTATTTCTTATGGGATTCATATTCAGCTGTAGGTCATAACAGAATGGCACAATCATAAAACAAAACATGGCAACAAATAAAAAAAATGAAATGACCCCTGTTCAAAAGTCTACATACCCTTAGTTCCTATTATTGTGTATTGCCCACTTTAGCATCAATGACAACGTGCAGTCTTTTGTAATAGTTGTCTATGAGGCCCCTAATTCTTGCAGGTGGTATAGCTGCCCATTCATCTTGGCAAAATGCTTCTAGGTCAAGCTAAGTCTTTGATCATCTTGCATGAACCACACATTTGAGATCTCCCCAGAGTGGCTCGATGATATTAAGGTCAACAGACTGTGATGGCCACTTCAGAACCTTCACTTTTTTCTGCTGTAACCACTGGAGGATCAACTTAGCCTTGTGCTTAGGGTCATTGTCGTGCTGGAAAGTACAAGACCTTGTTGACCCCTCTCCAAACAAAGAGCTTGTGATTGTGACCATAAAGCTCTATTTTGGTCTTGTCACTCCAAATTACAATGTGCCAGAAGCTGTGAGGCGTGTCAAGGTGTTGCTGTGCATATTGTTACCGGGCTTTTTTGTGGCATTGGCGCAGTAACGACTTCTTTCTGGCAACTCGACGATGCAGCTCATTTTTCTTCAAGTATGGTCATATTGTGATCCTTAAAACAACCAAACATTATTTTTCCAGAGCAGCCTGTATTGCTCCTGAGGATACCTATGGATTTTTCTTTGTATCCCGAACAATTCTTCTGGCAGTTGTGGCTGCAATCTTTCTCGGTCTACCTGACCTTGGCTTGGTATCAAGAGATCCCTGAACCTTCCACTTCTTAATAAGTGATTGAACAGTACTGCCTGGCCTTTTCAAGGCTTTGGATATCTTTGTATATCCTTTTCCAGCTTTATAAAGTTCTCCATAACCTTGTTATGCAGGTCTTTTGACAGTTTTTTCCTGCTCCCCATGGCTCAGCATCTAGCCTGTTCAGTGCATCCACATGAGAGCTAACAAACTCATTGACTATTTATACACATACACTTATTGCAATTTAAAAAGCCATCAGTCATATTTTCAATATCAATGCCAAAATTTCATGATTTCTGCTAGGGTATGCAAACTCTTGAGCACAACTGTATATTTGGTGAACGTCACATTTCCTGCTTTATAAATGTGCCCCATTGTACTGACTTTGCCTTCTGACCAAGTTTTATAAGGGAGAAAGCCAATGTAAACCATTGATGATCACAGGCAAAGTTAGTGATGAGTCAGAAAGAAGTATACTCATCACTTTTCTTATCTAGTATGCTTTTACATTCCTATGAAACAAAAACTCTTTGCACATTTTACAGTAAAAAAAAAGACACCTCATTCCTGACAGCAGACTGTGTTACCTTTGGGGGATATTCTTTGGAGATGTTGTTTACCAGAAAAAGATGAGGTGTTCATGCTGTAAGCACAATGTAATATATGTGTTGCTCCATACTGTGGTTATGTAGAAACAAAGGCGAATAGGCTAAAGTAATGTAAACAAGGTAATTGTAAACACACATTAAAGCCATATGTATACATAAAAGCCTTACGACAACAAATTGTAAAGAATAGGGCTTATTTACAAAATCTCAAGTGAAGTGAAGTATTAGCATATCCTGTTGGCATTTTTGGTTTGTTTGGGCCATCATGCATAATTAACTTGTTTTACTGATGTTATGATAAAAATTAACCCATTTGGAGCAAATACCAGATCGGAATATTATTTTTAAAGTGACACTAAACTCAGGAGTTAAATCTTCAAAATGCATTAAAATACTCCAAGTATTAATAAAAATGGAACTTATTTGTGTATCACTCAGCTGTAGATCTTCAAATCATCTCTGAATTGGTGCTGGCACCCCTTCAAGCTTACTCCCGTGATGGACTACAATCTCAATACAAATTAGCAAACTAAACATGAGATTGCAGTCCATCACAGGAGTGAGCTTGGAGTGGTGACTACTTTACAACACACAAGGACCATGGGGAACAATAGCAGCCACCCTCCAGAAGGAAGGAGAGAGTCAGCACCAATTAAGAGATGACTTGAGGATCTAAAGATGAGTGATACACAAATAAGATACATTTTTATTAATAGTTAAGGTACCTGAATGCAGGGACGTAACTAAAAATCACAGGGCCCCATAGAAAAATTTTGTATGCCCCCCCCCCCAAAAAAATGCCACTGAACAACACATTGATACAGTTATGTGCCACAGTGCCTGAGCTGCAGCATATATTATTATTATATAATATGATTACATGCAGTTAGAAACAAATCACTATCTTTGGATGCATCAATCGTGCATCCACGGATAGTGATTGATTCCTAACTACATGTAATCATATCACATACCATTACATGTGGTGTGCAGACGTTTACATGCAGTGGCTGTCACCTGCTCATTAATTGTTGAATTCAAGAAGCAGACAGTAAAATCAAGCAGACATTGAGTGTTTTAATTAGTTAGTGCTTCCACTGAAAACAAACAGAGGGTCTCAAGTGAGTCAGGCACCAATTTGTTAGGCATACTGGCTATCTGGCTCCTGGGATTCGTAAATATAGCTGATCCTTTATGCCCCACTTCTATTAGGCTTAGTAGTGCTTGGCTCATGGCTCTGGTTAGGCACCACTGATCTAGTTACTTGGTCCATGTATGAAAACTATAAAAAAGACCACTTTAGCATTACTTCTGATACCTAATTTCCACATCCCTACACAATAGAAACAAAACCTTGAGGATTGGTTGGCTTTCACAGTCATTCCTTTGTAAACAGTACCTTGTATACTTTTACCTTTGTAAATCGCTGCAGTCTTTGATAGCTATTGGATTAATAGAAGCCACAAAAAGAAAATGTAATGTGGGTTCCTGTTGTTTGCTAACACACAGGTCGATCATCTAGGTACTAAGTAAATGTAAGTGGCTATAATGGCAGGTGAATTCTGGCCAGTGAGGTTACAATGGATTTTTTCAGCTGCATTGCCTTGGGAACAGACTGGTCTTCCATTGATTTTGCAAGCTGTACCCAAAAAAAGGTGATATGCAAAGGACTAGCCACCACTATTACCTGTAGACTGCATGCAGCTGATCTAATCCCCATTACTGACTTACCATTCTTCATTCCTTGCTGTGTCTCTGAGTGGAGGTGGCCATCTCAGCTGAAAAGAGAGCAGGGTGTTTTTTCCTCATTTAAGTTTTTTTAAAGTATTAATTTATCAATAGCCAAAATGACATTCTACTGTTTTGTTTGTCCATATGTGCGCATGGTGAAAGAAAGGCCTCTTAGGTATTAGCGCATTGTGGGTGTTTAATATATCCCTTCCTCCAGCTCTGTCATGTATGCTTGATGTTCAGAGAAGTGTTTTGCAATTTCCAGTGGGCTGGAGAGACGGTAACGGCATCATTACACTGGGAACATTTGCTAGTACAAAAGCTTCCCCAGAGCTGCAGGAAAACCAAAGTTCTGCCTGTACATGTATGTAGAAATACAGGCTGAGTGCTTCCTATAGCAGGTGGAAAAGTATTAGGGTGAGTAAAAAGACTTTTGTACAAAATATTAGTAACTTGTATATGATTCATTGATGGAGACAAAGCATTTTCAAATAAGCTATACAATTATTATTCATTCTGTAAGACAAAGAGCAGCAGCATACGTAACGAATTATCAATAATGTTACTGATCCAACTGCTTGAACTGATAGGTGAATTATGCTATGGGTATTACACTTGTTTCCATACTAGCATTTCCTTTTTAAATAAAACTGTACAGTTTCCAGTGAAAAGTGTTTAAATGCTTAAAAGGTGATTTATATAGTATAATATTCCCTTTCAAAAACAAAGGCACATAAACAGCATGCATGAGCAGTAATTGGCTTATGCGACATTGTTATTTAAAGGTAAAGTGTTTCTATTCCTATTAGGTTTTTATTCACTGGTACTGACTTATTTCTGTGGTCCATGCTAGTGAGACTATCTACGTGGATGTGGTGGGTACCGCATATACCAACCCAAGGTTACGCTTTAATATCTGTGGTCTATGATAGCAAAATAATAACCAGAATTAAGCTTTAAAAATGTCCTTATAACAACTACTATTGTATTCATTGGCACTATCTTAGTTTAATATTCTGCATATAAACTTAGATAACATGTGTATGTGTCAATTCTGAAAGCCAGTAGAAAACACTTTTGTTTCTTTTGTGTTGTACTGTAGACTGTATACTACATGTGTCTGCATATGTGGTGGCACAGCCAATAATTCTGTCGTGCAGTACAATACAAAATACTGTAAGAAACGTTTTTATTCTAGGATAAAAATGACTTCTTTTATAAAATCTTACCCCTCTTGTTTATGAGCTCAACTATTATATAAGTTGTAATAAAATTAATGGGTAACTTTTTACTATGCTTGGTCGCATGCCAAGTGCACCTCAAATGGACTATTGAACTAATATAATAAGGTTTATCTGTTAAAATTAGATGTTGCCATAATTTAAAATGTATTTTGGATTGGTGAGGGGGTTAGAACACCTTTCAGGGTTTTATTGTTGAGAGAAGGGGGAGAGCACCAGACACTTATTTGCAACTCCAGAACATTATTTGATTGTAGTCACATTCAGAAGCAGCCAATGCATTTTGGGGGTTTGAAGAGCCCCTCTTCATTAGTGCTACAACAAATCTATCCATCTATCTGGGATGTGATGCCTGTTTATTTGCTTCATCTATGGTGCAGGTCTACATAGTTCAGAGCTACAGCAAAAGCAATCAAAAAGGTACAATAAATATAGGATCAAATTTGTGAAATTAATAAATAAACGGAATAAATAAAAACAAATGAAAATGATGCCAGGAAAATTCTTACAACACAGTTTCGATTGTAAAGTTATAAGGCAGCTTGAGCCTTTTAATGGTTATAAACAGGACTGAGAGAACGCAATAAAGATACATTTAACAACAGTATACTGAATAACATGTGTGCACAAATACATAAAAGTTCATTAAAGACATATTGGAAACTGAACACATACATATATTGTATACAAAATAATTTAAATGTGTCGGAAGTTTATAGCAGAATTGTAGATACAGTAAATGAACAAAATATATGCCAGTTCTTATGATATTGAGTGATCTGTTTGTTAATAGGATGGAATAGAGCAGTAAATATGATCGGAAGCAGAGAATTAGCTTGCACCATACTACTGATGAAAAAAAATGATAGAGATTAGTATAAGAAGCTTAAGAATAGGGGGAACATGTAAAAAAAATGACTAGTTTCAGTTAGTTGCTGGAATAAAAAATAAAGTTGCTGAGAAACATTTACCGTTGTTGGACAAATCCATTGGATTACTGTGACATAATGAAATGCGATACTAAGCTAACGTTTCTGGGAATATAGCTTTTTATTGCTGCCTTTGTTTTGCTAGCAAGATTCACCCACTCTGCTTGTCCTGGTGATCACTCTTACCAGTACTGAAAGTGAAGCATTTTCAACATGTTGAATCATTGAACAATTGTTGAACAATGTTGTTCCAATGACAACTGTCTAAGGGGGGCTTTTTCTTAATTCAGAGTTCCTCTCACTTTCTGCTTTGTCTACAGCATGGGAAATTAAAGAAAATCTCCCCAGAGGGACACAAATGGAAAAAAACTGACAGGGTTTTAACCATTGCTTACTGGGAATGTCACAAAGATGTGTTTACTCTAATACTTATATTTATATTATGTCTAAAGGACTCTGCTATGTCTGGTATTGGTTTAAGAATGGATTTACCCTATAGGTTGCCAAATATTTTTTGTGGCACCCTCTTAAAAACAAGTTTTTCTTTCAGATTGAATAGGGAACAGTTAGAACTCCTGTACAGTATTTTTTTAAATGTGTTAACACCAATAGGAAGGTTTATCCTCATGCCCTGTCCTGAAGAAACAACAGGAACTGGAAATCTCTCCAACGTGAGGGGAAATCCCTTCTAAGATACTTGTCACCAGAGCAGGTATAACTATTGAAAGATTTATGCTCACCTCCAGTTCTGGTGATAACTGTAGAATTTTGTTTTTTCCTTTACTTTCTGTTTCATTAACAATGGTCAACAGGATTAACAGAGTAGGTGAATCTCCTTGTCGAGTACACAGACTCTATCCATGTGTCCCACAAGTTTTTTTTTTATTGATTAACAAGTTATTATTATTTATAACTGGGATATTCTTAGAACATATACCTTCTAATAACTTTCCTCTACAAGTAATGTGTAGTGTACGAGATGTGTTATTGTTTCCTGTAACCAAGCATTGCTTAAGAAGTGTTGTAATTCAATTACGTGTTTCAAAAAAATCTTTGATTTCATATAATGTAAGCCACATTACAAGTGTGTTTTCTTTGTTTAAAGATCAGTCTACCCAAACATATTTCAGATGGGTGGAGTCTAATAGGCTTGAATTTATCTCTGTTGGGAACTTCATTGAAAATATCATACATCCGAATAAGCATACATCCAAAGCCCTGTAATTCCCCCCCACACACACACACCACCACCAATTATATTCTCCATAATATGACATACAAATCACGTTGTGAAAATGGGCTCTTCAATGTGTCCAGACCTGGGTACTCAAACACAGAGATTGCACTACACAAATTCCTGAAGAACATAAAAAACTGACAGCAATATTATTTACATCCACCATGTTGAAATATCATCTTTGGGAAGATTGACTCCCAACAGGCTTGGGCAGACTGTTATGCATACTGTAACTATAACTTGGTTTAGTATGCTGTAGCCTACTACATTTTGGGTTAACTATTTTTGAGATTTGCAAATTTTTGACACAACTGAAGAAACAAGCTACATACATCTAAAACCTGATATAACATTTACTGAGCCATGCTTAGTACAGAAATTGCTATGTAATGAAAATTTCAGGTATCTACAGTATGCACATTTTAAAAGACAATGGGGATGCAATCAGCTGTGTGTTGTTACATGGCTTTAAATCATATTTTCTGGTGCTCAGTCCAGTACATAGTCAAGTATGGTGTCTAATAACCTTAAAGGGTATTTCCACTAATGCAGTCAAATTTGAGAAAACTCTTTATGTTTGTTATGTGTTCCCTTTCACACAGCATACCATAAAATTATTTTTAAAATATTTCTTACTTCTTAGATGTTTAGTTGCCGCAGGCAACATGTTATGTGCTGAATCCATGTTTTACTCTGCTCCTTTACAGTGATCTGTTCTTATAGAAAGGACATCTGAAATTTGAGGATTGTTTCTCTTATTAACTTCATTAACATACAACGGAAAAGTCAGGGTTGTAATCATTTAGAGATATGTTTAGACTACTTTACTTTAATACTGTTTAAATCTATTTTACAAATGATAATGAACAAACCTCTCAGCCCCCACAACCGCTCCTAAAATTAAAAAGAAGGAGAAGCAAGAAGAAATCGTAACTCTAAGAAGCCAAGACACCCTAACCCAAGTAAAAGCAATTTAAACTGCAAGCATTTTTAAAATATTTTTGTAGCTTATGCTATGTGAATGGGAACATGTAACAAATATAAAATAGGTGTCATTCCAATTTGGCTGAAAAAGTGGAAATACACTTTAAAGTCTATGTATAGCTGAAACTTTTCTTTCCAGTTTTGGGTTTTGAGTGGAGAAGTGTTAAAAACCCCTATTAGTTTTTGCTGTGTGTGTCCTGTATGGGACACTTCCTGTCTTAAAGACACAACAAGAAGAGAGGGAAACTTTCTACAAAGTGAGGGGCACCTGCTCTTAGACTGCTTTCATTGGTACAAGTGTCTTTATTGAAAGAGTTACTCTCACCTCTTGCTCTCATGACAACTGTACAGTTTTGTATTTCCCATTGCTTTGTGTCCTAATGACGATGGTCACAAAAATGGACAAACAGAGAGGGTCAATTTACCCAGTGGGAACACAGACAGCAATTAAAAACATAACAGAGAGTTTAACTCTTTCCTAATTTATCCAAAACTAAAAAAAAAGGTTGGACTATACAAACACTTCTACCTAGTCTGATGTGAAGAACTTTGTTTATATTCTAGTTGTAAAATATAAAAATGTAGTAGCCACTTTTGTCTTCATTGCCTAGTATTGATAAGGAACCCAGTTATATCACAGGGAATTTCCTACCATGATGGAGTATATGGAGAAATATAGCTTGAGTTGCTAATTAGACATCACCAAACACTAATTCTAATTCCTATAGTGTAATATTGACAGGGTCATATTTGGACACTGTGGCAAACAGCCCCTTTGGGTCAAGGACATGGATGGGGTTTACCTGCTGCCTAGACTGTGGCATTTTATAAGATAAGCTAGTGGTAGTGCTTGGTCTGTCTAGCAGTATGCAGAAGGTTAACCAATGGCCGCACACTTTCCACGCCCTGGGGCATAATTTAAGTTTTCTCTGGGAACAACAGTGTGTTGTATGATAAGTTTTTTTCTGGGAACAACAGTGTGCTGTATGTATTAGAGAGAGACTGCATGCAGGCTGCGCTGTAACA